CATTAAGAGTAAAAATAAATTGGTTTATCTGGGCCAAATGTATGGCCTTAAACACCCAAAAAGAAAGTATAACCAAAGATTAAAGGCATCAATATAAGTTTTTAAGAGTCCATATGTATAGCTAAAGGCTACATAATAAGCAACAATGACAGAAAGGAGATACCTTCTTTTGAGTTGTTGGCCAGGGTGGTTGTCCTAGTTTGTTCTTCATTGCTGTGACAAAACACTCTGACCCCTACAAACTTGGAGAGGAAAGGGTTTATTTATCTTACATCTCCCAGGTTGCAGTTCATCAGGGAGCCCAAGGTAGGAACTCAGGGCAGGAACTGGAGCACAGGCCATGGAGGAACACTGCTTATTGGCTTGCTCCCCTGGACAGGCCCACCTGCCCAGGGGTGGCACCACCCACAGTAGGCTGGGCCCTCCCACATCATTCATCAAGAAGATGCCCTTTAGACATGGCCACAGGCCAGTCCAATAGAGGAAATTCCCCAATTGAGGCTCCCTCAACCCAGGTGTGTCAAGCTGACACTAAAGCTATCCAGCATAGTGGTCCAAGGGACTCCCAGAGAGTAACCCAGCATAGAACTGGGAAAATGAACAGCAGACCCCAATCTTATCTAAAGGAATATTGACAACTGATTGCTGCTAGATGAGGAACAGCTGACCTTCCTAAAACAAAGCCCTCTAGATAAGCCGACTAGATTCACCAGAAGGGCAAGTAGTGGGGAATGGATGGGGGTGCTAACAACACAGCACACAGTAGCAGGGATAACAGAGTATAAGGGCTCTAGAGGGGGGAGGGAGGCTATGGGAGGGTGCCATCTGGGAAGTGGATGTATAGTTGAATAAAATGGTTTGTGATGTTCTGTGTGATATAAACACACACCAAAAAATCAACAAATTTTAAAAAATGTATTATATTTGAGGAGCAAGCATAAAAGTTTATGTCATGTTAATTAGTAGAGGTGATAAATACTACCATTGAAATCTACCCGATAACTTTATGGACATACACAGGTGCCAAGGATCTGAGTACAATCAGATACATACAGATTAGAGGTGCCTGCGCCAACATCTCAGTGTTAGTAGCAAAAACAATGAGTCTTTCTGTAAGAAACAGTATATTTTAAAATGAAATGGAGATCTTTTTTAAAGGTTAAAAACTCATTCAATTTTTTGTCTTACAGTTTACAGGGCTTATACTGAGTTCAATATTGTATAATTGTATTAATCCAACAGCGATCCTAAAAATTTTATAGCCACTTTTGAAAGAGCTATATCTTTGCTCTGGAAACTGTTATTGAGCATATTAAAGCTGTAATAATATGCTTCTTCTAAAAACGTAAAAAATAATACTAGGAAACAGCATATTTTAAAATGAAATGGAGATCTTCTTTAAAGGGTAAAAACCCATTCAATTTTATGTTACAGGGTTTATACTGCATTCAAAAATGTACAACTGTATTAATTGAACTGTGAACCTAAAAATTTACAGTCACTG